TATATCATTTTCTCCTATACTGGCAACATGGTAAAATACCAAACACTAAAAAAAAAGTTTGTTGTATTTTTGTTATATTATATTCTTATACTGCTGCTCACCCAATACAAGGCCCAAGAGACACTCAAGTTAGAGAGTTACTGAATTAGGTTGTTCTAAAGGCTTATAAGGAGAGAGTAAGAAATGTATATTATGTAGGATAAATAATTGGTGACCCTAGACTCAAAGACGTCAAAATTGAAGTGATTAAAGAAGCAACCTTTCTGGAGTTTGTTCCAATTCTGGGGGGGGAGAGAGCTGACTGAATGGAACTTCCTCCTTGTCAATATTAGATAAATAAAAATATAAATAAAATATAAATAAAAACCAGTCTTTGTTCAAATATGTTGCTCTGTATATGGTGAGGACCAGACAGTTGATTTGAACTTGTACTGCATAGTAATACTGATTGGTAGTAGATGCATTGAAATTTCTTCAAACATGACAATATAAGAATGAATATACAATTACAAGCATTTAACACTCTCAGCACTTACCCAACTCCAGGTAGGTTGTGAAACCTGTTAATCCAAAAGCAACTCTACAAACTAAGGTCTTCTGTTACTGTAAGTAGCAAGGTTTTGTATATTGCCAGCTTGCTAGACCTGCTGCATAGCTTACTGGACTTGGTATTTCCTAGTGGTTACACTGACCAGGTTCAACATTGCTTAACTTCTGTAATTGGATGAGAATATGTATTTCAACGTGATATGACTGTAAACATACATTTAACATGTTTTATTACCTTAGCAAACAAAATAGAAAAGAAGTGAATGAAGGTGTGTATGTTCAAATGTTTTTTCTGTATGTACATGTGTGTAAATTAAATTATACTATGAAATTGTGAGACTTTTATCTGAGAAGAATTCATTGTTGGTTTGTTAGAATATATTTGGATGTGTGTGTGTGTGTGTAATAAAGGAAGCGTAGGACATAGTCTGCTGTGTAGTTTCTGTGTTGTGTTCTATGCAACATTAGATTCATAGTAGATAGTAAAGTCTCCCAGTGACACACCCTATCTCTAAGGCATCATGCTGCTGAAAGAGAAAAAAAGAGACTTTTGTACCATTTTCTTCTCAAACAATCCTTCATGAGACTCTATAGACTGGCACTAAAATATCATAATGAGCTTTATCAAAAGTGTTACTTGTACACTTCCAAATGCAACAACAGCTAAAATGGATAGAACAGTTAACTTTCTTTTTGTTTTTTTAATCAATTCACCAAGGTGATAATGCTACTAAGACACAAGGGGCTACTGGGAGTGAAAGAGAATGAAAAGACTTTAGAAAGAACCTGAAACTTAATCCTAAACAGGAAACAAGGGATACACCTCTACTCCTGTTCAAGAGGCTAGGGAGGAGTGTAAACTGGATGATAGGTAAACTTAGCTAATCTTAAGGGAAAATAATATAATGAAGATGTAAAAGTTTGAAAAAAACAAAAAAAAGTTTGAAAAAACAAAATAAGTAAAAGTTTGAACAAAAAAAACAAAACAAAAATCCAACCCCCACAAAAGAATGATAAAAGTTTGTAAACTTGAGATGTCTAATTGCCTGTAAAAACTTTTTTTTAGAAAAATATTTTATGAATTTCAACTGATAGTGACAGTGTTTAGTCAATGAATTCTCCATGACCATTTAGTAATGTCTTATAACAGTTCTATATGGGCATGTGGCTGAATGGTTAGAATGTTTGTATTCTGACCATAAGACCCAGGTTTGAATCTTACCATTGTCAATTTGTCAGGAAAGAGACTTCCTGATGTTATCAGACTGATTGATCAAAAGGTAGATCCCAGCATGTGGCACCCTTGGAAAATGCCTGAAAACCATACCCACATGTTGTGAGTGAAATTGGGTAGACATAACCCTTGGGGGCCGTTGATAGCTGTGCTAGCATAAGTCACAAGTCATCGTGGCTGAGGGCTTGAGCGTGCTGGCCTTGTTCAAATTGTTGATCATGCTAGATAACATGCTCTTTTCCAGAAACTGTAACTTAGGTCTGCTCAGCATAGTTGCAGTATAAACCACAGGTGCTCTGTGAGTGTTGGACAAACACAAATGCATCTGAGCAAGCATCTGCAATAGGGATTGGCTAGCTACCCTAGTAGATGGGTATCCTCGAATATGAGTAGTCAGCTATACATACATACATACATTGCAGTTCTAAGCGGGAATTCTTTGGCAGCCCACCATCATAAAGCTGCTTCCCTCTGCCTTTTCTATAAATCCTTTCATGGTAATTATTTAGATGAACTCTTCACTATGTCACCTAGACTTTATAAATTCAAATGCAGTACTAGATTGGCAGTAAGGTCTCATCAATTCACAGTTGAATTGGCTAGATGTAACTATAAGTTCCATGCTAGCAGTTTCTTTTCTCACACTTCTTTCTTGTTGAACTTTCTTCTGGCTCCATGCTTTCTGGCCAACTTTGATCTTTAAAAATTTAAATGCCTAATGTCTTCCAGATTACTCTTCTATTGTTCTTGCTCCTTCATAATGTTTTTTTGTTTTCTAATTCTTTTGCACTTAGTAACTCTTTATGTTTTAGTGGCTTTACTACCTTGCTTGGGGTAAATTCAATTGGAAAAAAAAAAGTGGAGGTACTTCCACAATTGCATCTTGGCTGGGAAGTTTTTACTCATTAAGCATATTCAGTAGATAATGTCCTTTGCATTATCTGTCTCTATTTATGAGATGAGGCATTGTAACTATTTACACTATTTCCATTGTTAAGACTGTAGTCCTCATCTTTGTTGTCATATTCACAATGTTTTTGCTGTTGTACGCTCTGGCCTTCTTCAGGTAATTGGAATTCCAAACTGGACTTTTTATTTTATCCACAGTGGTAGATTGTTCTAGTTCCACATGCCATGCCTCTTCTGGATATCTCAGTTATTTCCCTTTAATAACTCAACTTTTCAAGATTTTGTTTACCTCTGCTGTTGCTAGGTATTGAACTCGTGACACTTTGGGTCAAGTCACTAGATTACTTTAACCGACACCTTTATCCATCACTTTTGTTATTAAATATCCCACATTGTGATAATAGAAAATCTCCCCAAAACAGTGAAATGTTGTAAGAAACTGTACACAAATTTACTGTGGATGATTCCTTGGGGAAATCAGTGTATGAATTCTTGGGACTTATTAACTTGATGTCTCAGTACATTTTTTTCTTTTTTTTTTACCAGGGCTCATATTACAATCTGTCGTTATTTTTTTCTAGCACTCTATATTACTATATTGTATTCATTTCTATGCTTGGCCAGCTTAGATTTTTGTGGTCAAGCATATGATTAATAGTTATCTCAGTTTTTACAGAATACTTTTAGAAGAAAAAAAATCCATTTCTTTGGAAGACTATAATAAGGACCAGAAGTAGTTTTAACTGAGAAAATTAAAACTTCCAGGGTGGGGATGGAATTGATAGCTACCTGACAGTTGTGTGAAAAAAAAAAAAAAAAAAAAAAAAAATCAATATAAGTTAATGCCAAAATATAAAATAAAAACATCTTTACTAAACCATACAAAATTTCTGATGTATTCAAGAATTCTACTAATTTACTAGTTTAGTTACATTGTAATGTCTTTCTTTTCTATTTAGTAGATCAAAGTATCAGAAATTTAAACAGCTTGATTACTAATACTTAGACAAAAGTTAGAACCACTTGAGTGCTTGTCAAATTCCGAACTTGATCATAAAGTAATATGGGAAAATTATATATAATTCTTTTATATATCCAGAACAATTTTAGGGGGCAAAAAGTTTTCATGTGATGCATTTTGTTCTTTAGAACGTCATCAAACTAAAATGACGTTTACTTTGATGCAACTACCCACGAACATAAAGGAAAGGAGATACTAAGATTTTTGTCTTTTTTTAATATATGTTTTGGGTATATAATCTCGATGATTTCATTTGTTTCTTTTTCTTGTGTTACTAAACATCCCACATTGTGGTAATAGAAGATCTGCCAAGAAAGGTGAAATGTTGTAAGAAAATGGATGCCAATTTACTATGGATGATCTAGCAATTAAAGCACTTTCTATACATTTTCATCTTAGTAAATTGTTATACAAAATAATAAGTTAAAACGAGAAGGAGGAATTTACACTATTACCAATAATAATTTCTATAAGGAATATATAAAAAAAAAAAAACTTCAAGGGATATAAGCAAAGATTATATGAACAAAAAAAGAGTTGCTCACTGTAATGAAACTGACCCCAATTTTGATTTAAAAAATGTTACACTAATTAAAAAAGAAAATTTATTAAGGCAAGAAATTGAGGATGGAAAAGACAGGGTGAATTTTATCCCAGAGTTTCATAGTTTCATTTCTCTTGCAAATTGTGCTACAGGCTGAAGTTACCATAAATAGCCATACACATGAGATGTTGACCTCTTGTAGCCAAAAGTGACCAAGCCAATGAACAGTCATTGGCCAGACTCCAAAACTGTAATAGATTGTCTGCAATCTATTCTGCAATTACATAGTTCTGACATACAAATAAAATCAGTCTGCATTGATACGACCTGTTTAAAATTGAAAATGAGGGGCCGTCCCTGAAAGTACTTTTAACTGGAAAACAGAAATATATATATATATATGTATGTATAGAATTTCAGAGATAACAGAGATATATCTGTAAAACAAAAATATGAATAAAGACAGTAAGATTTTGCTTATAAATAATTGTTGCAAAATAAAATCCTTACAATTGCCTTGATAAAGTCCATTAGAGGATGAAATGTGTCGACTAAGGTAGGTTTTCCTTTTGTCTTTATTTGAAGAAGAGAATAAAAGTAAAAAGGAATAAAGAGAAAGTGTAAGCGGATAAGAAAATGCTGAAAAAGGAAAAATAACCACAATATTCTATACATATGCACATATGTACATGTATACACGTACATACAGACACACACACACACACAGAAAGAAAATAATCAACCAAGAGAAAAAAGGTGAACAAATTCAGAGGAGAGGGAGATGGGAAATAGAGGGGAGAGATAAAAGTTAAATGATTAGAAGCAGAGAGAGAACAGGGTAATGAATAGGAGAAAGATAGGGCAAACAAATACAAGGGAGGAAAGAGAAGAGGGAGAGAGAGAGAGAGAGAAGAGAAGAAAGAGGGAGAGAGAAAGAGAGGGAGAGAAGAAGAAAGAGGGGAGAAGAAGAGAGAGGGGAAGAAAGAGAGGGGAGAGAGAAGAAGAAAGAGAGGGGAGAGAAGAAGAAAGAGAGGGGAGAGAAGAAGAAAGAGAGGGGAGAGAAGAAGAAAGAGAGGGGAGAGAAAGAGAGGGAAGAGAGAGAGAAGAAAGAGAGGGAAGAGAGAGAGAGAAGAAAGAGAGAGAGAGAGAAGAAAGAGGGAAAGAGAGAGAGAAGAAGAGAAGAGAGAAGAGAGAGAGAGAAAGAGGAAGAGGGGGAGAAAAAGAAATTTGGGAGAGAAAGACGGGAGAAGAGAGAGAAGAAAGAGGGGGGACAGCAAAGAGAGGGGAGAGGAGAGAGAGAAGAGGAGAGAGAGGGGGGAAGGAAAGAGAGAGAGAGACAAGGGAACGAAAGAGGGGAGAGAGAGACAAGGCAAACGAATAGAGGGACAAGAGAGAGACAAGGTAAACGAATAGAGGGGAGAGAGAGAGACAAGGCAACGAATAGAGGGGAGAGAGACAAGGCAAACGAATAGAGGGGAGAGAGACAAGGCGAATAGAGGGGAGAGAGAGAGAAAGCAAACGAATAGAGGGGCGAGAGAGACAAGGCAAACGAATAGAGGGGCGAGAGAGACAAGGCAAACGAATAGAGGGAGAGAGAGACAAGGCAAACGAATAGAGGGGAGAGAGAGAGACAAGGCAAACGAATAGAGGGGAGAGAGAGAGACAAGGCCAACGAATAGGGGAGAGAGAGAGACAAGGCAAAACGAATAGAGGGGGCAGAGAGACAAGGCAAACGAATAGAGGGGGAGAGAGAGACAAGGCAAACGAAGAGGGGGAGAGAGAGAGACAAGGCAAACGAAGAGGGGAGAGAGAGACAAGGCAAACGAATAGAGGGAGAGAGAGACAAGGCAAAAACGAATAGGGAGAGAGAGAGAGACAAGGCAAACGAATGGAGAGGGAGAGAGAGAGACAAGGCAAACGAATAGAGAGAGACAAGGCAAACGAAGAGAAGAGAGACAAATAGAATAGAGAGAGAGAGAGAGACAAGGCCAACGAATAGAGAGAGAGAGAGACAAGGGCCAAGAGAGAGAGACAAGGCCAACGAATAGAGAGAGAGAGACAAGGCCAAGAGAGAGAGAGACAAGGCCACGAATAGAGAGAGAGACAAGCACCAGAGAGAGAGAGACAAGGCCAACGAATAGAGAGAGAGACAAGGCCAACGAATAGAGAGAGAGACAAGGCCAACGAATAGAGAGAGAAAAGGCCAACGAATAGAGAGAGAGAAAAAAAAAATAGAGAGAGAGAAAAACGAATAGAGAGAGAGAAAAAAAGGCCAACGAATAGAGAGAGAGAGAAAAAAGGCCAACGAATAGAGAGAGAGAGAAAAAAGGCCAACGAATAGAGAGAGAGAGAAAAAAGGCCAACCTAATAGAGAGAGAGAGAAAAAGGCCAACGAATAGAGAGAGAGAGAAAAAAGGCCAACGAATAGAGAGAGAGAGAAAAAAGGCCAACGAATAGAGAGAGAGAGAGAAATAAGGCCAACGAATAGAGAGAGAGAGAAAAAGGCCAAAGAAGAGAGAAAAAGGCCAACAGAGGGGGAGAGAGAAAAGAGCAAAGAGAGGGGAGAATAAAAGGCCAACGAACAGAGGGGAGAGAGAGAAATAAGGCAAACGAACAGAGGGGAGAGAGAAAAGGCAAACGAACAGAGGGGAGAGAGAAAAGGCAAACGAACAGAGGGGAGAGAGAAAAGGCAAACGAACAGAGGGGAGAGAGAAAAGGCAAACGAACAGAGGGGAGAGAGAAAAGAAAAAAATAGAGGGGAGAGAGAGAGAAGGCAAAAGAATAGAGGTAAGAAAAAAAGAGAATAAAATGAAAGAGAAAAAAGGTTGAGAAAAATCTGCCATGTTCTTAATAGACTCAGATATCTTTATATCTGTCAGATTCTCTGTAATAGTCTCAGTAATGAATAAATGTATAAGGACAATGATTCATCACAAACACTGGATTATAAAGAGAAAGGAATAAAAAAAAAATAAGAACAGAAACAGAAAAACAAGTCATTCAGTTGTGCACTAACCACTCAACACCCAGACACCCACACCAACAACGGCCTTAGCAAAACAAATGATATAGTAAAAGAAAAGAAAAAGAAGGAACAAGTAAATGAATCAGGAGAGAGAGAGAGAGAGAGTCCATCAAGGAGAGAAAGCAGCAGGCATCACCATATTTGCTAAACAGCAATATGAATTAAAGTAGGATTCTTTGTAGATATCAAAATATATTTCACATTGGCTCGGATTAAACCTAGATCTGCCTGGGATCAGTTTAAACTGATACCTTCTTTTCTATTCTGACCATTTTGCTTAAAGTTCGTATTCCCTTGATTTCACATGAAAACTTGGAAATTTTCAAACATTTCAGTGAAATTCTCCATTTCCTAATTCATTATTTATAATTATAGTTTAGAATATATATATATATATATATATATATATATATATATATATATATATATATATACAAATATATATATGTATAATTATTATATATTATATGCGTGGTACTTATTAGAAAGCACTCAATATCAGAGATAGAGGTAACATATTTGGTTGGATAGATGTGAGTTTGGGTTTATGTAGCTACATAAACCCAAATTTTTTAAAACATTAATCAGTTTGTCTGACGATCGCTAAAGCGTGAAACCCAGGGTCACAAACTCACATCTATCAACCAAATATATATATATATATATATATATATATATATGTGTGTGTGTGTGTATGTATGTATAAAATACATATATATATATGTTTTCATTTTTTATGTGTAATAATTGATGGGCAGTGTTCAAAATAACAACACCTCACCCGTTGTCATTAACACTTACTGATATAAGCTATCGAAGAGGGTTCGTATATACAATACAACACCACATATATCTTCAAGTATGCTTTGTTCATTTTAGAAATTCATTTTAAACATTAAAAAATTATAATTAAAAAAAGAGGGGGAAAACAATTTTTGTAATAATTCATTAATTATTAAAAAGATTTTTTTATTTTATTTATACTTACATTCTTCATTTATATTATTTATGATTGCAATTAAAAGTTTATACAATTGAATAATTAGATAGTTTTAATGCAGTTTTTATGTTACAATTCAGAGCATATCTTGTGCAATTTTGTAATAGATTGAGAAAAAAAATAAATAAAAGAATAACTGATGATACGTTGCTCTTAGTAGGATGAGAAATAAGCAGATTCTGAAATTCCAGGTTAAATCTATGGATTGTTAAGGATTACTCAGACCTTCCAAAGTTTATATAATAAATATTATGCTTTGGGAACTTTTACAGTAAACATAATTTTGCTTGTACATATGTAACATTTATGAGGATAAAATACGGTTATCTTTCCTGAGGTGTTTATAAATTGTAGACTGTTCAATATATATATATATATATATATATATATATATATATATATATATATATATATATATTAGTCTGAATTTCATTTCTGTTCATTACATTGACTTATGTGCCAATGGCCTTGAAAAAGGTACAAATACATCTCTTCTCACAGCTAGCAGAACATATTGGCTCCTATAGCCTTGCATGGCAAATAGTCTAGGAGAAAGAAACTGAATTCAAACTGGATCACATTATCCTGAAAGTGTTTAAACATGTGGCATGAATCCAAATTTCCAGTGAAATTTTAACTACTAGCATATCCTCCTATTAAAAGGAGCCCAATATTACACATCACATTTTTAGTGGATACTCTTATAGATGCCCTGTTAATTTATTAAATAAATACGAGTATCCAGTGAAAATAACATTTAAGTAATAAAAATCTGTCGGATTAATAAATTAAAAAGATATCCTTTTCGGGCCCTGATAGCTTAAGGGTAAAATCTCTGACTGTTGCCAAATCAGTCAGGTTTCAATCCCAGCTTGAGGCAGTTGGATGTCTAGCCACACTGATGAACTGTAATACAGCGAAACAATCTGTGGGTGACAATATATACTCCCCAAAAAATTTGTAAGCAGTGACTATTACTGCTGATAATGCAAAGCTCTTCTACGAATTGAGCCCTCTCAGTCACTGGCGTGTTCATTCAAAGAAGGAATACACAAAAATTCACCTTCCTCTTTACCAGGTGCCGATAGCTTGGGGTAAAATCTCTGACTGTTGCGGAATCAGTCGGGTTTCAATCCCGGCTTGAGGTAATTGGATGTCTAGCCACACTGATCAGCTGTGATCTGTGGATGACTAATATATATATATATATATATATATTTAACGTTGTTATAAAACATAAATAAAAATGTCTTTAATAAATAAATTGTCGGACCTCGTCCATTTCTTAACATATATATATATATATATATATGTGTGTGTGTGTGTGTGTGTGTGGCTGGTTTTAATACGAACCCTATCTTAGCAAAAGTAATAATTTAATAGCTAAGATCTTTTGTTAATTTTGATGGAATTTATAATCTTCAATTGAGTCCTGATCAGCACTTACACAAGAGTAACAAATATCTTTGTATGCCTCACATATTTGCAAAACTAAGCAACTCTCATTACTGACATCATAATAAATGATGCAATCGCATCATGTGTGATGATTGTTGAAGTCTAATGAAATGAGAGCAAGTGAAATTTTTAATGGTGGTTAATTTATTGTCTTGATGTCTTCTCTGAGTTTTTACCTCCTCATTATGAGGCCTTAATAAAAAAAAAAAAAATCTTTTTCATTTTCTTCTGATTGCTTATATCAAAAAGAAATGCCTGTTCCTGTTAAGTGAGATATCTGCCTGTGCATCTCTTCTTGATGGTTATGACTTTTTGCAAAATAATTGATTTCCTGTAACATAATTCAATAAACTTTTGTTCAGAAATAATGAAGATTTTAATTCATTTTATTTATTTATTTTTTAAAAATGTCACCCCTAACATGAAATTTATAAAATTGTATATTAGTAGTACTATGAATATCTGGAGCCTTTGTGAACTTGTTTTTGTGTATTTGTAAGGTTGTATGTTATGCTATAGTTATAAACTGTTAAATGCATTTAAAAAAATATGTAACTACTCTCCAATTACATCATTAGCAAATTGAGAAAAAACCTTCTCAAATAGTTTGATTTTCTATCCTTATTGCATATATGATAAAATCGACTTTTCAGATTGGGATGACCTTTTTCAAGAACTAAAACAAATTAATGTCTTTTTCATTACTTTTGAACAAAAGTTGATCAATTTATGACACAGAAACATTGGATTACAAAAAGTGTTCACTGAAGGTAAAGAATTACTAAATAAGTTGTGTGATATGAAAACAAAGATGCAGGAAGTGAAGATTATGAGGGCATAGAGTATAGATAACAATCAACTCTAGACTTGAAGACATTAAGATTGTAGTGCTCTGGGAAGCATCCCTGCGGGAGACTTTTTCACAAAGTAATCAGTCCTATACTGACTGTAACAATAAATTGTCCAAATCATGTAACAGCATAACTGTTAATCCTACAAAAATGTTTAATATCTAAAAAAAAAAAAACAAACACTAAACTAATTGAGTTTCTTTTTTCCAGGTTTTCAGATAAGATGTTTAGCCATCTTCACAGCATTTGTTGTAAGAATCACTGAAAAACCCTTTGAGTTATTCAGATAGAAAGAGAACAGGTTAAAATCGTTTTGTGTCATCCCCACTGTCTTCTTACCTGAGCAATGGTGAGAGGAAAAAATCATTCAGGCCTTTCATAAAGGTACCAACATTCATACTCTGGCTTTTGTCTTCAAAGTCCATTCAAAAACCATCAAGAGAACGGTGAATAAGTTTAAAAAAGAGGGAACAGTAAAGAGAAAAACTGGATCAGGAGGTCAGAACAGGAAGAGGGATCATCATTTCAATTTAGAGCTAAAGAGATCAATTAGAAAAGATCCAACTCAATCTATAAGACCTTTGGCATGTGAGAGAGGAGTTTCAGCTATGACAGTCCAAAGAGCAGGGAAAAAGGTCTTAAAAATGAAATCGTATGTGAAACGTGTGAGGCACTTTATTACTCAAGCGTAGAAAATTAGGTTAGAGAGAGCAAAAATCATCTTGAATAAGTTGCAAAATGATCCTGGAATAATATATATATATTTGAACTTTATTTCAATCCTTCATGAGCTTCCAATCCTTAGCTATGATTAATTAGTGATGAACATGTCATTTTCGTTTATGATTGATTTCATCACAATTCTTCTGTTAAGCTTAGAGAGTAATTATACATTATTATTGCTCAGAGTCCAGTAGTGTTATAAAAACCTTGGATAATACCAGTAAGATATTTTTAATCATTTCTAAGATACAATTCAAAGCTTAATCTAACAATTGGACAATTTTCCTGCTACACCTGGTATGGCAGTAAATGATGGACAATCTCCTGATAGATGAAGAGACTTGAAGCAACAGAAATGTGATTCTACAGAAGGATGCTGAGTGCCATAGAGCAAATGTGAGCAATGAAAAAGTTCTAGATATAACATCAGGAAGAAAAGTTGAAATTTCTATGGCATATAATGAGGAAAGAGGGTTTGGAAAATTTTATACTCACAGGAAAACAATGCATAACCTACCTGGTGAGCTTGAGTAAATGATGCCAGAGCAGGGGTTTGGAACAATAAAAAAAAAAAAAAAAAAAAAAAAAATTTATTAAGAGTGACAAAGAACAGGAAATTGTGGAGAGCCATGATCACCAATATTCTGAAGGGATACGGCACATAGAACAAGAAGTGGGTATTAGGAAGAAGTTTTTAGAGTGGAATATTCTTCTTACCAATGTAATATGTTGGGAATAAAGAAGATTCAACTCTGTGGACATAGCAAGGCAGGCCTTGGTTGTAAT